GCGGCGGCGGCAGCAGCAGCAGCAGCAGCAGCAGCTTTGTGGGGAGCAGGGCAGTAGTCCGGCCAAACAGACTTGTAGGTTATAATTATTGCAATAGCTCCCTGATTCTGCTAGACCCTCCCGCGGTAGGCTCCACAGCACCATGCGGAGCGCCCTGCTGTTTGTTGGCAGCCGTCCTGGCCCTCAGCCTGGCTCTCGGGGCCATCGGTGAGGAGTCACAGGAGCAGGTGGTACCCAGTAGGGGCCGCAGAGAGAAGAAGGTCCCAAACATCGAGGTGCTGCTCAAGGCGCTCACTAACCACAACTCGGTCTCCGTGGTGGATGAACTGCTCAAAACTCTGAGCCAGGGGAGCAAGGATCCTAAGAAACGGTCCTTTCTCCAGAAACGCGACATGCACGACTTCTTCGTGGGGCTCATGGGCAAGAGGAACAGCCAGCCAGGCACGCCTGCTGAGGGGACCCCCGAGGGCGCCCCTCGCTCCGGCAGCCTCCGGTACCCCGCCAACTTGGAATGAGATGCCCCTCCCCGTCTCCTCTGCTCCCCCAGCTGGTGGTTGGTGGGAGTGTTACCAGACAGAAGATGTGATTTCATTTTTTTTGGTCCTCGGCACTCTGTTTCTATCCTCCTGGCTGCATCATGAACAACCCCGTCACCCCCTCCGAGTCCCCAAGTGCATGCACTCCGACTTACCTTCTCTCCCCAGCCTGCACCCTTCTTGTGCTGAGCCTCCTTCCCCATCCCTCTACCCAATGCGGATGTGGACAGTGCATAGTGACCCCCCCAGTTCCAGCTGGCATTGACAGTATGTTCCCTGGCTTCCTCCACAATAAAGGATTTTTACATATGGGGGGGGGGAAAGAGGCTAGAGAACTGGCCTCCAATCACATACTCAGTGGAGAGCAGAGCCAAGATTGATCCCCAAGCAGTCTGGTCACAGAGTCTGAAGTCTTAACAACTGTGCTATCCTGCCTCTCCAAAACGGAATGTAAAGTATTAGTTGATTTTATGAAACACACCACAGACTTTTTGTTGACCTGCAACGCACCTTGTTAAATATGATCACAAATAGGAAATTTGGCTATCTGTATCCTATATGAGAAAAGCCTAATATGCTAAGTATCTGGTCAACTGGTTGGCCATTCAACCAATCAAAGCGTAATATGCTAATGATATGCTAAGGTCACCCAACTGCTGGCTATAACGTGCACTGACCATCAGGGGGCAGATGCTTTGACCTGTAGGTTAGCTTGCTGTGGGGGTCCGGCCTATCAGGACTGGATGAGATGGGGGGACAAGCCCTGGAGCCCTCCCTCAGTCCCTCCTTTGCTGGCCAACCTCCTTCTGGCTCTGATCATGCACCCAGTGGGTCCCTCAGCCTGGCCTGCACCCTCTCGCAATCCGGGACCCTGGGGTATGTCAGAGAGCTTGTTTCAGCCTGATCCCACAGGCCAGGCCGAGAGACCCCACTGGTGCACAAATTTGTGCACTGTACCTCTAGTGATAATATGAAAACCAAGGCGTTGGCCGATAGCTCAGTTGGTTAGAGTGTTGTTCAGGTATGCCAGGGTTGCAGGTTTGACTCCTGATCAGGGTATTTTCAAGAATCAACTAATGAATGCATAACTAAGTGGAACATCAATCTCTCTCTCTCTCTCTCTCTCTCTCTCTCTCACTAACAAATAAAAATTTTAAAAATCAAACTTAAGGTCACTTCAACCTAGTACAGAAATGAGGCATAAGTCAAAATGATAATAGTATCTGCTTCCTTAAAGCTTCACCCCATCTCTCCACTTTTCTTCAGCTTAGAGTCAGGTCATGAACATGTATCCATGTAGGGTCACCATTTCTGGTCACTGCTTGCCCCCCAAGACTGGCCCAGAGTCTGTGGGGCCCCTGCACTTCTCTGGAGCCAGTCAGCAGGGGGCAGTAGACTCCTCTGCCTAACATCTTGCACCCTGGGGATCTGCCCCACTGGTTCTGTCTGGATCTGCCTTGGTCTTCATGGCATGTAGCCTTTACCTCACCTTTGGGAATGCTGCAGGCTCATTGCGGCTTGTGTTTCTTCTACATTGTGTCTGATACTGTGTATTGGATGTGTGGGGGGAGGGGGGGAAGAGGGAGGGGGAGTGTTACATTCCCAACCATCCTAAGTTCCCATCTTCTAAAAATGGAGCTGCCTAGTTTAGAAAGCAAATTCTTAACAACTTAGGCTCTTCTAGGATGCACATTAAGATGAGTGATTAGAATGGGAAGAAGATGAAAGAGTCAAGAAACTCACAGGCTAGCCTAACCGGTTTGGCTCAGTGGATAGAGCGCCTGTCTTCAGACTGAAGGGCCCCAGGTTTGATTCCCATCAAGAGCATGTACCTTGGTTGCGGGCACATTCCCAGGAGGGATTGTGCAGGAGGCAGCTGATCGATGATTCTCTCTCATTGATGTTTCTAACTCTATCCCTCTCCCTTCCTCTCTGTGGAAAAAAAAAAAAATCAATAAAATATGGGTGTTTTTTTTTGTTTGTTTGTTTTTTTAAAGAAAGAAACTCACCGGCTAATAGGACTGACATGAGGCTAGAAGAGTATGATGGGTGCAAAAAGGATTGTTAAACTGTAAGACAGTGGAGATCATCCCTGTGACTCAGAGTCAGTATCTCCTTCACGAATAGTCTGGGCCAGAGGTCCTCAAATGTGAGCTTGCATCAGAAATAGCTGGAGGGCTTGTTAAAACGGATTTCTGACTCGGTAGATCTGGCTGGTGTCCAATACTTTGCATTCAATCAAGACCCCCTGTGCTGCTGAGGCTGCTGGTCCCAGAACATTCTTTGAGAACTGAGGCTCTAGGCTTCTGGATCGGCAACAAACACGCAGCAGGCATTCAATGGTCTTGTTATCACGAGGCTCTGTATTTGGGTTACCCCAATATTTGCTCTCCTTCTGCCTTCGGATTACTCAGTGCAGTTTGGCTGAGATATATGGGGAAAAGAGATTATGTTCCTCTCCTCTTCCATGAGTCCCCATCTCCTGCCACTGATACCCTTTCTTATTTGAAAAGCTCTTTACAGCCAAAACAGGTTTGGCTCAGTGGATAGAGCATTGGCATGCGGATTGAAAAGTCCCAAGTTCGATTCGGGTTAAGGTCATGTACCTTGGTTGTGGGCACATCCCCAGTAGGGGGTGTGTAAGAGGCAGCTGATCGATGATTCTCTTCTCGTTGATGTTTCTAACTTTCTATCCCTCTCCCTTCCTCTCTGTAAAAAACAAACAAACAAACAAACAAACAAAAAAACCCACAAAAAAAAACCACACAATAAAATACATTTTAAAAAATAAAAACTTTTTACAGCTTACAAGGAACGCTCATGCTCATTATTGTGTTCAAATATGAAAGACGTTGTCATTCCTGAGCCTAAAGCCAAGACTCATGAGAGTTAAAGTGGGGGAAGGGACAATGGGATGGAAGAAGTTGCTTTCCCTTTGCGTTTGCAGCACTGCATGTAGCTCTGAGTTTCTGTTTCAAATCAAGGGAACATCTATATACCTATATGTATGAAAGGCTAATATGCTCAGTGTCCGACTGGCCACTGTTGACTGCTAGCTATGATGAGCACTGACTACCAGGCAGACAGTCAATGCACAGGCATGGGAACATGGAACCGACTGATGAATCTCAGAGGGAAGAGGGGAGAGGGAAGGGCGAGAAGAGATTAACTAAAGGTCTTATATGCATACTAGAGTCCTGGTGTACGATGTGTGCACCGGTGGGGTCCCTCTGCCTGGCCTGCACCCTCTCCCAATCTGGGACCCCTGGGGGATGTCAGACTGCTGGTTTCAGCCTGATCTCGCAGGCCAGGCCAAGGGACCCCACCAGCACACGAATCCATGCACCAGGACTCTGATAGATAGATGATAGATAGATAGATAGATAGATAGATAGATAGATAGATAGTGTATGCAAAGTTAGAGTGAAAAAAAACTGGATAATAAGCATACCTCCTGCGCCCCCTCCCCACCAAATAAAACTGAGTGGCGGGGAGTAACCCCGAGAGAATCTTCCCTGGGAAGTTCCCTGCAGCATCTGTCACCCGGGGACCCGGGTGGCCCGCTGTCCCCTCCCCTACTCAGCAAGGCCAGGACGCCGCGACAGAGCCCTCCAGACTTCTCCTGGGGGCGCACGCACACCGTGCAACCAACCCTGACACCCTAAAACGTGGCCGCGCGACGCCCCCTCGGCCCCTCAGGCTTCCCATTGGCTCGCTGCCGTTGTCACTCCTTCCTTGCCTCGCCTTCCCCTGCCAGGCGGCGGCGCCGGGCGGGATAGGTTGCGCTCGCCGCTGGCTGTGGCTGTGGCCGCGGCTTTGCAGCAGGCGGCGCGCCGGCGGGAGCGGGGAGCGGGGAGCGGGCCGCGGGCGGGCGGGGAGCGAGGAGGCCCGGCGCTGCAGGCTTCGCAGGCTCCGCGACCGGCCCATGCGGGGCTGGGCCCGGGGGCAGGGCCGGGGGGCCCCAGCCCGCGCCGAGGGCGGCCGCCGAGGTCCTCCTGCCGGGCCGGCCGGCAGCCCCCAGCCCTGCCTCGCCCAGAGCGCGGCCAAGCCAGAGGGATGCGCTGCCGCTGCTGCTCAGCTCCCCCGCCCCGGCCGGGCCCTGAAGCAGAAAGTTGGGGGGCCGGGGGCACCCTCTCTCCTCCTCCCCCCGCTGCAATGATCGCCCGAGGACTCCCGCCGGCCGGCCTCCGCTGCGCTCTGCCTGCGCGCTCCAGGTCGTCGGGAACGGTTCCAAGCTGTAACCAAGGCTCCCCGGATCCTCGTCCCTCCCTCCCTCCCCTTTAAAGATTCATTTCCCAATTCAAGAAATCGTATTCCGTCGGCTCCTTTCCTCGCTGGTCCTTTAGATCGCGGGCCTCGTTGCTTAGTGTAAGAGGGGGTGCGGTCTCCCTCCCGCCCCCCCCCCCACCCACCCAAGACGGGTCGCGGGAAGGACAGATTCCCCCCGGCCGACCCACATTCAGCATGAAGAGGTGCAAGTCAGACGAGCTGCAGCCGCCGCAGGGAGAGGAGGATGGAGGTGGGCTGGAAGATGCCGTCTGCCACCTGCCCGGCACGGACCTCCGGCCCGGGTGGCCCATGGGTGCTAACTCTGCGGGCGGCGGGCCAACTTCCGACGCGGGCGCTGCCGCCTTGGCGCCCAACCCGGGACCCCGGAGCAAGCCTCCGGACCTCAAGGTGAGCACAGACCCTCCCTCCCTCCCCTGGCTGGGCCAGCCGGCGACTTAGCTTTTATTTTTCCCCTGCCCCGCGCGCCCAAGTGCTTTCAAACAGGATGCAAAGTGATGGGAAAGCCAGGCAGAGGTCAGAGAGGATGTGGGGCCAGAACCCGGGGCTGGGCTTCAGGTCCCATTGGTGCTTCTCTGTCTTTCTGCTCCATGTCAGGCTTCTGTGTCGGTTCCTCCTTCTTCAGCAGGCCTCCGAATGACTCACCCATAAAGATATGTTTGAAAGATACTGTGTGTGATACTATACTGCTTAGGCTCAGACAAAGGACTGGGGAAATCCAGGATGCTAACCAAAAAGTTGACACCACTCTCCTCCGCCCTGTGAGTTGGCAGGGGGAGAAAACAGACAGCGCAGAAGGCCAGACAGGACCGTTGGTCGTCTTTGCTGAATTGGTTTCCTCCTTCGGAGGCCTTTCTGGGGGAAGGAAGCTCAGTTTGTCCATCTGGGAAAGGGGAGTGTGGACTTCCTGCCGTTAGGTGGAGCCAGAGGTTAAGCTAGTGTGTGGCCATCCCCCGCCTGCCTGCCTGCCTGCCTGCTGGTGGAACCAACCCCCGGGTGGAGAACTGACAGGTGGCCCAGCACTTGGGCTGGTGTGGGGCCGCGGTTCAAGTTGCACACACGCTGAGCCGGCAGTGAGAACCAGAATCCGAGGAAGCTGACCACACGCAGCGGGGAGCGGTTTGTTTTCTGGCCCGAGGGTGCTGAGGAAATGATCGAGCTGCTGTTGAGTATGCCTCTATATTGATGAAAACAGCCGCTGCGATAAAATAACGCACCTTAGCTGGAGCAGGGGCTGCAGGCTCAGGCTGCTCAAGCCAGCTCGCCTCCAGTCCGAGCGAGATGTCAGCCCTCGGAAGGAACTTAGATGCTTCGGAGATGGATGCCTCCAGGAGATTTTTCTCCAGAGGGGCGGTGAGGTCTGAACTCGGGGAGTGAACGGACTCGCTATGTCAAATAAAGCCCGTATCCTATGGCAGCAGACGCCAAGGAGCTCACCAGAATAAGCCAATGACATTCCTCGCGTGGCCCGAGCGGCTCAGAGTCAGGAAGTCAGAGCGCAGGTGAGTGTTACCTGTGTGTGTTCCCCGGGGAGGGACGAGAAGGGGGACAGCTAGCTCCTTGGGTGTGGTTTTTTAAAAACTGTAGTAGCTCCTCGTATGCGACCTCTGGTTCTGCTGGCCTTTTCAGAGGTCTGGGGCTAGCCTTATGTCTGAAGATGTGTTCCTCGGGCTAGGCTGTGCACAGGAAGCTGGGGACTGGCCCCGCTGTCACCCTGGAGCCCACCCAGGGTGCTCAGGAGGTGTGGGTCCCATTTTAAAGGAGATGGTGAAAGGACAGGGACGCCCTGAATGCTGCTGTGGAGAGGGGCCAGCCTTCTGCCCAGGCTTCAGCTTCATTCCTGGCTGAGGTAGATGAGTTCGGCCAGCGAACTCTGGTTCCTTAATCAAATAGAAAACCTCGCCCTGAGTCCAGAAAGAGCAGCTCGGAAGCCCCCCCGCCACACTCCCACTTAGGCCAGCCGTGGAAACTGTGGGCTCCGCTCATCCTCCATCCCCGCCCCCCAAGATGGGCCGTTTGTGGTGTGAGGGCTGTAGCGTCTGCCTCTGTAGATAAAGCTACTTGAAGAAGCTTGTTCACCTCACTCTGTAACATCTCTCTCTCTCTCTCTGGTAACACCTTCTTTCTGGCTGCGGTAAAAATAGCAGCACCTCTACACTTGCTATTGAATGCTGAGCTCCCCTGAACCAAAATTAACACCAGGTGTGACAAAGGGAGTTGGATCCCCCCCACTCTGACCCCGGAGAAAACAGACCCCCGAGGTGGATCTCGGCCATCTGGACCAGGTTGGCAGCAAGGAGTAGACAACATAGCTGCTGCCTGCTGGTGGGAGCACAGGGCTGTTTATCTCTGTCTGTTTTCACACATGTTTACAGGGGAGGGACCTCAGAGCCAGACATGAACTTCGGGGCTATTGCAGTGCGATTTGCTGTGTGATCTCAGGCAAATCACTCCACTCTCTGAGCCCCTTTTCTGGAGAAAGGGACTAGGAATACCAAGTGGGTCTAGACTTGTTTTCCAACGCTGGCACGGCCTCCCAGCGATGGGAAAATTCCACCATCGGCTGTAGCCTTGGGTTGAAGCAGGGTTGTTTTCGATTTGATGCCAGTTCAAGGAAGGGACGAGTTTAATAACACCCTCTGCTTCAATCTGTGTTTGGCCAAGGGAGACCCGCAGTTCTGGTTTGCTTTTATGTTCATCCTAAACGTTGGAGACAGGGAACTTTTAGTCCCTCAGTCCCACTTCTGTTTGCTGGTGACAGCTTCAGGCCTTGGGATGCGTTGAGTGCATTGGGGGAAGTCCTCGTGAGAAAGGGGCAAAGAGAGTAGCAGGCTTTATGGGAAGCACCTTCTTTGAGGTGAGGGGCTGGGGAGAACAGAGCATTTCAGCCTTTGCCAGGGAGATCTGAATGATGCCCTGGCTAGTGGCAGCGAGGTGTTGGGGAGAGGCGGGACCCCGCGCCTGTGGTCTCCCTCCCCGTCCTTCCATCCTTCGGTCCTGTGGCGTTGTGGAGCATGTCGCTCTGCCCTGTAAAGCTTCTGCTCCCGTGGCCTGGCGTCTGTGGTTATAGGGTGGGGAGGGCCAGTGAAAAGAAGGGGCAATAGTTAAGCAACAGTCTGAACTAGTTTAAGCGCCATCATACAACTGTAACTGGCCACCTGCACAGGAACATTGCCCTACAGGAGGCTTGTGCAGCTGGGTGGGGGGTGTCTGAGCTACTCCTCACGCCACCATCCAGAGCCACATCCCTTCCCTCTGTGGCTTTGGGTTCCTGTTGAACCACCCGAGCTCATGTCCTGATGCCACTGTCATCATTACCCAGCCCTTGGCTGCTCCCAGAAGCCCTGCCAGGAGATGCCAGGATTGCTGGCCACAGAGCGTGCTGAATGACCCAAAGTGCACCGGAATTCTCCAGCCCGGAGCCCGGCTCCAGGGAGAACGGGAGTGGGCGGAGCTCGGGGAACACTGGCAGAAAGGGACACTCTGCTGCCCACACAGCAGGTGATGGATGGACATTCTGAGGCCAGGGGAGTGGCTAAGCACAGGTCCCCCCCAGTCCTGTCCTGATGCAGCTCGGAAGCTGAAGGCAGGGGAGGAACCCCCCAACCTTTTCCCCTCTGCCCTCTTTCCCCTGCCCTCCCTCTCCCCTCCCCTGGCCCCCACTCCTTCCACCCCTCCCCACTTCCCCCTGGTGTTAGTGGAAGGAATTTCCGGAAAGGAAGGGTCTGGATGTGCTGGCCAGAAGCATTTCCCTGGAGGTTCTTTTCCCTCACAAAAGCCCCTGCGAATCATTTCCCTGGAGATTTCTGAACGGCATTTATATTCTTCCGGGAAGAAATAGGGGGTGGCTCCAAATTCCATTATTCCAAGCGCTTTTGACCCAAGACCCATTTGGGCTCCCGCTCGTGTGCTCCATTCCCACCATACCCTGGTCCCACTCAGGAAGGTCAGGAAAAGCAATTAGAAGTGAGGGCCAGCCACAGCCGCTCGCTCCTCCGCCTGGCCTGGCGAGCGCAGGGCCTCAGCCCGCACCCCATGGCGGCCCTGCTCTCTCCGCACTCCTGCCGAGGGCCCCCTGGGGAAGGGATCAGGGTCCACAGGCATCGGACGCCCTCAGTGGGAACGGCACCGTTTTACACTGTGAAACACGACCTGCATACACACACCTGTCCGAAAAGACAGGTATGCTCTAAGGAACAGTCGCAAAACCAACACCCATCTGCCCAAGCCAAGAAAGAGAACATTGGCATTCCCCGGAAACTCTGTTGCTTGTTCTGTTCTTTTGTTTGTTTTACTTTTATTTATTTATTTTAAGGCCCGGGCCCTAGGGTTTTGATAAAATTAATGGGCCTGGGTTTCTCCACGTGTTCAGTGGAGGAGACACGCTGTTCATAGGAATGTGGGCGGGATGAAGGCGTGCGTACTTTGGGACTCGGGGGGAGGGGGTCCCCATGGCAAGAGTGTGGCTCTGTGTGGCCTGGCTGCCCCTCGAGGCTCCTGCTTCCACGTTAGAAGTGAGGTGCCGAGGTGTGGAGACCCCCGCAATCTCAGGTGGGAGCTGGGCCCTCGGGGGGTGGGGGGTGGGGCCAGGACTGAGGTAGACCTGAGAGCCAGGTCAGGGAAGATCGGTTCTTTGGCAACGGGCACTGCCTCTGCCTCTAGGTGAGCTCCCGGCCAAACAGGATGGAGTACCTGCAAGAGAGTCATCCATCAAAGGACACATGAGTTTCAGGGTGCTTCAAGCATCGTGTGATCGAGTCAGAAGCACACGGGGTTAATTGGGAAAGATGTTCTGGGGTAGGTGGACATAGAGCACGATATTAAAGGAAGGGTGGAATGTTGATGATGAAACAAGAAGATCGGGGCTTTCCAAGCTGGGAGTGAAATGGCAGGGGGCCAGGTCCCTTCAGGGACAGCACTCTTTTGGGCTGGAGTGGCACTTGTTTTCCCAGCCTGTAAATAGTCAGGACCAGCGGAGGGTGCTGAAGAATGGTGAGGTCACCTGTTTGTGTGTTTTGTTTTTTGTTAATCCTCACCTGAGGGAATTTTTCGATTATTATTATTTTTTTTTTTTTAGAGAGTGGAAGGGAGGGGGAGGGACACAGAGAGACAAACATCATGTGAAAGAGACACAGAGATTGGTTGCCTCAGGCACACGCCCAGGCTGGGGCTGGGGATGGAGCCTGAAACCGAAGTTCGTGCCCTTGATGGGAATTGAACCCGGGTCCCTTCAGTCTGAGGATCTTCGGTCCGCTGCTCCACCCACAGAACCACTGGGCTAGGGCAAGGTCACCTGTTTTCATCCCACCTGCCCTTCCTGTGAGGAGGGCAGGGCTCCCGAGGCCTGGGATTGCCCACTCCCATCCCCTCTGCCTTCAGTAATAGTCAGA